ACCTTGCTCTTCAGTTCCCATAAAACCCTTGTGCTGGGAAGTTCTGGATTCCCCTATACTCACATATACAGGAGACTAGAGCGGTGGCAAAGGTAATTATAGGCACTAGAGGGTACCTAGTGGTGGATTCGGCAATTTGTTTAGGTGGCAGGTGCCTAACCTCTTCCCACTGGCTGATTGCATACATGTGGCAGCAAAGAGGTGGGCCATATGCCGTGCTGCCACATATCTGCATTTAGCTGGGAGCGTGCGCCAGTCACAAAGCGACCGGTAAGCTGCGCTCCTGATCACCATGACAGCCAATCACAGTGTTCGGGAAGCCTAGGAATGCTAAACTTTTCTTAAAGGGGCAGTGCGAAGGGGATATAGGATCAGTCTAGGATTACCTCCAAAACATGCTCCATCATGGCACCCTATATATACCAGGGGTAGATAACCTCCGGACCTCCAGCTGTGGTGCAACTACAAATCCCATGAGGCATTGCAAGACCCTGACAGCCACAGGCATGACTCCCAGAGGTGCATGCATCATGGGCAGGGCTTAAAAAATCCACTCGTCCTCTCGTCTGTGACGAAGAGGACTCCGGAGCCGGGCGAGTAGCTTCTTGGGCGGCCGTTGTAAATACACGGCCGGGAGCTTTACATTCAAGCGATCGGGTGTCTCTAGAGATGCCAAAACGCTTGTATTAGCTGCGGTTTCATCAAAGTGAAACATATTCACCTTCCAAAGCAGACACAGCTACACACCGCCGTGGAGGTCAGTGACCAGGCTTCTACCAGTGACATGTGGGGGCGGGGTCAGGAAGGAGCATATTTGTAAATCTTGAACGTATCCTTTCACTGTATTAGCTTAAGCAGTGAGTAGCACGTACTAGGATGGGAAGTCTGTCACTATACAAAGCAAGCTACATCAGATCCAAGATGGCCGGACATCACATCAGCCGCTCGATGGCCCTGAAGCCTTTAAATATGATATATAATAGACTAAAAAGGAAAATAATTTAACAATTTAAATGCTATAAACCTTATTCATCACATGACCATAGTAAGGTACTAATTGTATTAGAATTGTCATTTCTTAGGAAGCCACGTCCCCTTTTTAATATACCCAAGAACAATATTGTACAGCGGGACTTCAAACAGCTGCAGAGACATAAGAAGGACTTACAGAGCTTTCCCACTTTAGAATATTGATCATGTGATTACATAACTTTACATATTAATTAATATTCCAGCTTCAGATTAAGGCTCATGCACACGGTTGTGCAGCGCCCATGTGCGTACAGAATCCTGCGCCCGGCAGTCACAGCCATCAGCGCAAATCAGTGTCGGGTTGCGGCTGCACGCTGTTAAACGCAGCTTGGCTGTACGCCCCGGGATGCAGATTGGTACAAGAGGCCCCTGTGATTCCAGGGCGCAGGATCCCGCACACTCTTTGGCCGCACACACACATGGGAATGAATATGTGAATACAATTGCAATACTAAAGAAAAAAAAACATCCAAGTTTCTTATATTGTGAGAAAGTAATAATCAGGATCCACCCAGGAGACCGGATGAAGGACGAATAAATAACGTCTGCAGTGCAATTGTGGGAGGACGGCCGGCGACGGGATTTAAAGTAAATATTTGGCAATGTATTAAAATGAACCCAATGCCGACTCTAAGCCGACTTATTTCAGCCCCTCCCCCTCTGTTTTATAATGGAAGATGCCAATATGATGTGTCATAGGCACCTGTCAGAGCTCCTGGCCCCTCTCTGACTGCCAAACATCGCTATGGGACATGTGCTCTATGACAAGGGAGAGGGCACAGCAGCTGATTGGTTGGCTCTGTTCGAACGTCATGCTTTTGGTCCTCATTCACATGGCCGTATAGTAATATGGAGGATGTTGCCCGCAGGAGCTGGGAGTAAGATCCCGTGTTCTTGCGCTACATGTATGTAACATTACTTGTATTGTAACTTTAAGGCCTTGTTCATACCGGCAAACCGCAGCAGCTGCACAGCAACTGGAGTGCGCTGACAGGCAACAGTGCTGATGACAGGCAACAGTGCTGACACACCGACCACCATCCTTTCTTTCTTTTTTAAATCTTCTTGAGCATATTATTGCGAGTGTAGTATGGTGACGTGTGTGTGTGTGTGTGTGCGTGTGGGGGGGGGGGGGATTGGGGCCATTTTCTC